AAGAGATGTTAGCTCAAACATCTTCGTGATAACTGTAGAGATTTTAGCTCAAATTTCTTCCCGGTAACTGTATATATGTTAGCTCAGATATCTCTGTGGTAACTTTGGAGAGGTTATTTCATAGTCACATTTCACTCATACTTGTAGATACTTTGTTTCGGTCATCTCCTTGTAATTGTAGAGATGTTGATTCGGACAAACTTTATTATAGATGTATAAATTTTGGCTTACACATCTTTTTGTCAATTAATATAGATGTTGATTCCGTAAACTCTTTAGTATAGTTGTATATATTTTGGATTGACATTTTCCTGTCATTGTATAAAGATGTTGGTTCAGTCAACTCTCTAGTATGGGTCTATAGATTTTGACTTAACAATCTTTCTGTTACTGTGTAGATATATTTGCTCAGTCAACTCTTTGACACACGTGTACAGATTTAAATCTGGAATTCCTCCTGTTATTATATAGAAATTTTGGTTCACTCATCTCTTTAGTATAGGTATATATATTTCAATCTGGCCACCTTACTTTATTGTATAGAGATGTTTGTTTGGAATCTCAGTCGTCTCTCTATGGTTGTTTACGAAGTTTCTTGTATTTTCGAAGTCTTATTATATTTTGTTGACACATTATGATAATTTAGTGTTAAAAAAAGATCTACATCTGGTAGGCATTTATCATATTTCTAATTCGCAATTTCGTGTGATCTGCACATTTAATTGTGGCAGTCATAGCTTTAGTATGCAACCAGTCTTCAGTTCTAGTATAGTATGAAACCACTTTATGTATCTCGCTATTGTTTTTACGTTTATAAGGTAACCCTCAATGAATAAATATTTTATTAATAAAGCTTTTGTTTCTGGTCAGACTTGAATTTAACATGAAAGTGTAGAAGATATAGTATAAACTCAGCTAAAACAACGTTTAAATTACTGTGTAATTTGAAACATTGTTTTCACCAAGTTTTTAATAAATATCTACAAACAAGTGTTATGTTCTTATTTTTAATAGCGTAGAAATTCTTTAAGAGTTTTAGTTTAACATGAGTTGTGAACAATTCGGTTAAAATGGAGCTTTTACATGGAGCTGCGAGAAATCGATTAAAGTTTTTAGTTTAGCATGAAAATGTGGACAATTCGGTTGAAAATCATAGTTTAACATGAAAGTGGATAATTCAGTTAACAGGTTTAATTTCTCAGAAAGTTGTGAGCAATTCGGATAAAAGTTTTATTTTAATCGGTTAAAAGGTTGTTTTAGCTTAGTATGGAAATGTGGACAACTAAGTTAAAAGTTTTCATTTAACATGAAAGTATGAAAGATTCAGTTAAAAGTTATGGTTTTGTTTAACTCCACAGCCAGATATTGATTAAAGCCAGAAGGAGCCATTTGTTAACTTAAAATTATTTTGTTTTTTGAAGTAGTTGTAAAAAATTACAAACTACAGTATTACATACATATAAAATTGTAGCTTATACGCTTTATTAAGAGCATTGGCTTCTTTACATTATAGAGAAAAAGTTCTATTTCAGTTTTAATTTTCCCAAGCAATAAAAAAGAACCTAAGCTATAGCATAAAAAAGGTACATAAAATATTGGGCGTATGGTATTCACATAACCTAAAATATAGAAAAATAACAATTATAGGAGATAATCTACTGCTGATTAATTAAAAAATTATTTTCTTTTATGGAAAAACGCCAGAAGAAACAGATGATGCAAACTATTTATTGCTATGGAAAGACCAAATTAGTTGTATGATATTGTTATATCAGGCACTTGGTGAGTCCATTAATAAGCACGTTTTCCAAGATAAACGCGCCAAACAACTGCGACAGTTCGTGAGATTGCAATAAAAACAATAAATCACGACTTGGTAAAAAAAACTAAGGATGATAAGCTTTTTATATGGTATACAATATAGAAAATATATTTTTATAACTTTTGCTCTTCGAGATATATTTACCTAAAACCTGATGAATTGTTTTCGAAAGACTTTAAACAAGTAGATAACGTACAATTGTAAGGTAAACAACAACAACAAAACAGCCTTGAAAGTAGCAGCATTCACAAATTTAAGACATAACTATTTTTTCGACATATTGCTTGTTTAAATAAACATCACGTGAGCTTATTAAGTTAATTCATAGAAGTTTTTTTTTACAGAGCTTTAAAATACGAAATGCATACAAACATCAAAATTCTGTTCATAGGTCAAATCTTGTAATCTTATCTACACACTACTTCACCTAGCTTCGCCGCTGTTACACGTTTTTTTTTGTTTTGTTTTTTCAGGAGATGAGTTAGTTTACATGAAGCTGATTTTATAGTCAGTGGAAAGAAGTCACTTGCAGAATAACTTATCAGTTTGTTCACTTAGCTGTACGGTATTCAACGACTTGAACAGCGGAACTGGTCAGTCTTGACGTAGAAAAGAAATACTGGAACGTTGTGACTAGTCCCTATGGACCAAGGCTCTCAAAACTTGGACTTGTCTCCCAAGAGCTACGTCAGACATTTAATATGATGTTTCGAGCATAACTGGACTCACGCATAGTGACGTCTCTACTTCTGCGTGATCAGGGATAACTGACACACACAGCACGAAGGGACAAAAACTTGGTCCTGGCGTGTTCCCTGACCATCTCCATCCAGCGTCATCAGTGACTTCTTGCTATATTTCTGTCTGCACCTACTTATGTATCCAGGGGGAAGAGAAATTTGGCTAGCGCAGGCCTCTCCTGGGGAGCTGAAACATAAAATATAATATTTTAGGGATAGTTGGTTATGCAGAGGAATTCTGAAACTTCTTACTTAATTAATTTTCTCAAACTAAATATATCTTATATTCTATGTTATTCTTCATGTACTGTTGTCTCACATCTATTCTCTCCATTAAAGGTTTTAATTTTGGATGTTTGAAATTATTACCAAAGTATTCGAGGTTACATTTATATATTCAATGACTACCTATCTACCTGTAAAGTCTTTGTTTGATTAAATATAATGAACTTTAACAGTGCGCCGAAGTCTTAATGAACACTCTGTACGTTACCTGTTCTATTATATTTATATTAACAGTGTGTACATCTGAAACACTGTGTAAGCGTGTTCTATTCTATTACTAATAATTGTGTGTATATCTGAAACACTGTGTGAGCGTGTTCTATTCTATTACTAATAATTGTGTTTACAGCTGAAACACTATGTGAGCGTGTTCTATTCTATTACTAATAATTGTGTTTACAGCTGAAACACTGTGTAAGCGTGTTCTATTCTATTACTAATAATTGTGTGTATATCTGAAACACTGTGTAAGCGTGTTCTATTCTATTACTAATACTTGTGTGTATATTTGAAACACTGTGTAAGCGTGTTCTATTACTAATAATTATGTGTATGTCTGAAACACTGTGTAAGCGTGTTCTATTACTAATAATTGTGTGTATATTAGAAACACTGTGTGAGCGTGTTCTATTCTATTACTAATAATTGTGTTTACAGTTGAAACACTGTATTGATATATGAGTGTAAAACATAAACGTAGTGTGAATGTATTCTGGTCTGTTATTGATATACTTGAGTATAAAGTTTAAATACAGCATGAACGTGTTCTATTCTAATTATTAATAGTTGTGTGTACCTGAAACCCTGTACGAGCATGTTCTATTCTATTACTGATATTTGTGTGTGTAACTAAACATATGAAGGTGTTCTATGCTATTATTAATATATATGTAACTGGAATTCTAGGGCTATAACATATTCTTTTTGTTATTATACATTTATCATTGACGTGTATAACTAACACTATGTGAGCGTATTATATTCTATTATTGATAATGTTGTGTATAACTGGTACTCTATGAGCGTATTGTATTATTGACATTGATGTGTATAACTGATACTTTAAGCGTATTATAGAGTACTCTTCATTTTGTTGCTTATAAAGGACACTTTGTGAATGTACTTTATTTTATTCTTGTTATTGATGTGTGGGTAAAGCACATTACGACCATTAATATTTGTGAGTATTAGGAACATTTTATGTGTGGGTGTTCTCTCATTATTGATATTTGGGTGTATAATATAAAGTTTATTCGTGTGTTTTGACGTCTAACATTAATATGAAATTTAATAAAAATTGCTTATACGAAAATATTTTGTTATTTTTTCTTTTGCTTGTTTGTTTGTTTGAAGTTAAGCACAAAGCTACACAGTGAGCTGTCTGTGCTCTGCCCACTACAGGTATCGAAACCCCGATTCTAGCGTTGTAAATCCGCAGACATGTCGCTGTGCCACTGGGGGGCTTTTGTTTTGCATTTGTAGATCTGTCTTTCTGGGTGTGTTCTATTCTACAGGGTTGGATATCTCATATTAATTATTAATCATAAGTCACGTGACAAATACAGTCGATATAAAGTCGTGATGGAACGTCATGTGCCAAAGCTACACTTCAACATTTTGGTGTGCCGTAGATAGTGTAATGCCATCGAAAATTAATCGCAAAATATTAGTACATCAGATTATAAAGATGCGTTCAGGTTGGGATTTAAAATTTTAAGACGGAAATATTCCTTGTACGTAATGGAACTGGAATGCAAAGGAATATGAATTAACCTAGAAATTCAGAACAAGTACCTCAGCCGGGTAAGTAACGTGCGGCATCTTGTAACAGGTGAGAATCCACGAACACAAAGATCAGTGGCAATAGCTATCCACATGTCTCAGGCAACATGATCTAGAAGGATGTTTGATTGATTTGGGTTAACCAACAAAAGACTTACAGTCATATCTCTCATCAACTGTCGCATATCTCAAACAAATAGAGAATAAAATGGGTATTCTCTCCTACTATTTCATACGGAGACATACTGGTCAAGTCGCTGGACACAGTGCTTATAGACTTCTGTGCAATTGGACTTTTGAAACGGGCACTGAGAAACCATCGTCCTTCTTACATTAGTTTGATTATGGAAACTATCACGAAGGTGTAGAGTGCGTCGGACATGACAGCCATGAACGGAGTCTTTTGCAATGGAAATTACGCTGCAGGGCTGTTGTCAAGATGTATGGTCGTTAAATAGAGCATAACTCGACGTGGTTACATGGAATATAATGACGTGGTTACGCTCGAAAATCATTTTACTGTAACGTACTCAACCCTTTGTGTAATATGCGCTAGATAAAAAAGTTCCTTTCTATGGTTAGTTGTTAACCAAGGCTGTCGAGTATGTATAATGAGAAAGCATGTTTTATACTTTATATAACACTATGATATATGATAAAGGCAGTGCAAGAGTTGAATCTGCTATATGTATGAGTATAAAGAAATTGTATTTTATTATCAATGTGTTTTATACAATTATTGTTGTCCACCTGTAAATATATGTATTTTTCAGACTGTAAAATAAATACTCTATCACTGTTTTTTTCTGTGTTAAAAATTATGATTGATGTTTACCTGTATAACAGTGGGTGTAGACGTATTGTGATCCGAGAAATATTAACCAATGATCCCTTAGTATTTTTAAAACACATTATTTCAAACTATTTATGCATTGAATTACTCGTGAATCCGTGACTTTGTTTGTAGCAATATCACGAAGAATGTAAATAAAACTGTTATCCACTATAAGTGTTCCCGCTAATTACTACTGAAGTTTCCTAAGTGTTTTAGAAAGAAAATTAACGAGTTTACCAATTTTTAGTTTTTTACGCTGAGTGCTGTAACCGACAAAAACATAAAATTACTCAGTATGATAGAATATATGGACCCCACCGGTAGTGAAATGGTGTTATTCACAAGTAGCAAGTCCACTGCAGATAAGTGCTTATTTCAGTGCAAAATTCGGGTAGAAATACTGTGAACAATGAAGTTGCTTACCAATACTAGACACAATCCGTTTTCACATGAGGATAATTATACAACGGTTGCTCAGTAATAACAAAAACTTGCATCTAAGAAAATGTGTTTATAATGTTCTTTATCAAAGTAACAGTCATTCAAATATTTATCAATGAAAACAACAATAAAAAAATAAACCCGCAAACTAACAGTCATACAACTGCTTATCAGTATAAAACAGTAACATGTAACCATAAAGTGACAATAGCACAACTATTTATAAATAGAGAATAAAAACAGTCATAACGTAGCAGTCACACAGCTATTTATCAATAGAAAACAAAAACACAACTCTATGAATAAAAGGTAAAGACTATACTCATAAAATAATACCTAACGAGCCAAATTTCAGTTTTAGTGTAGAGCATAGACAAACAGACTGTTATTCTTTTAAGAACTAGTTTAGAACTAAAATATAGAAAACTAGAGGGAGACTCATTAGAGCGCACACCGCTACGCAGCGTTGATCATATTCGGCTCTCATAAAAAAAAAAAGGAAAGAAAATGTGTCCGTATGTCCGCCGTTATCAACGAACACGGACCGTTTTTGACAGAACAATGAGGAATAATATTCTACATAAGTCCACCAAGCTTCATCAAAATCTGATTATTTTTGACTGAGTTATAGAGTAAAATTAGCGTGTAAAATCGGTCCCCATGTTAACAGATGGGGATGTTTTGGATTTTCAGGACTTTGCTGAGAAAAAAACCTTCACCTTCCAAATACTAATCACTTCTAAGTTGGGTCATATTCCAAGTGTATACCAACTTTCGTCCAAATCCATTTAGCCGTTTTTGGGAAATCTTGATGACAAATATACTTAGGGCTGAAAACATAATCTCCATCCAACTTCGATGGCAAAGGTAATGAACAAAAGGGACAGCAATACAAAGTGAGATTTAGTAAACGTATTTCCAATAGAAAACAGAAATATGTAACTGTAAAGTAATAGTCACACAACTACTTATCAATAGAGAACAGAAACACAGAACCGTAAAGTAACATTCACACAACTATTTATCAATAGAAAATAGAAACATGTAACTGTAAAGTAAAAGCCACACAACTATTTATCAATAGAAATTAGAAACATGTAACTGTAAAGTAAAAGTCACACAACTATTTATCAATGGAAATTAGAAACATGTAACTGTAAAGTAAAAGTCACACAACTATTTATCAATAAAAAATAAAGATTGTACTCACAAAATAATATTTAACGATATAAATTTGAGCCTAGAATACAAACAAACAGACTGTTATTTTATTCAGGACTAATTTTACTCTAAAATATAGAAAACGAACAAAAAAGACAGCAGTGTAAATAAAATTTAGTAAGGTAATTTTCAATATTAGTCTAGTTTATAACAGGGAAATTTACTGTTATTTCTTTAAGAACTAAGATTGCTCTGAAATTTAGAAAAAAAGAAACAGCAATGTTTTTAAATGCACACACTGAAACGGAGAGTTTACAAAGAACTATCTAAAGAAGACACAATTACAAGATTAAAGATTTCGTTTCTTTTTCACTATAAACACACACACACACATATATATATATATATATATATACACAATCATTAAACAGTTGGTCTGCTGTATAATACTGAATAATGAGTTCGACGAAATGTCGTAACATTATTCATATACATAAATCAGTTTAGGTTACTATATGATGATGTAAAACGGACCCAAAACCCCATAGATATTATATAAACGTATAGGGTTTTTATTCATTTTTATCAAGACTTCTTGAACCTACGTGTTTTTCTAACACCATGAATATAAACTTTGCCGTTATAAGAGGCTTAATGTTAGTTTGGTTTGCTGACCCAAGCTA